GAATTGGCAAAGAACAAGGCACCAGGAGTTAATGGAATAAAACTTAAAATCTTTCAAGAAAGTGAGGCGGTACAGGAGGCACTCACTCATCTCTGCCAAGAAATTTGGAAGACAACCATCTCACCGACTTATTGGAAGAGATCCATATTTGTGCCCATTTCAAAGAAAGGTGACCCAATGGAATGCGGAAATCATCGGACAGTCTCTTTGATATCCTAGGATAATGTACTGGACCACCACAAGATTGGCAGTTCAAACCTACCAGCTGCTCCTTGGAAATCCTATACAGAGTCGTAATGAGTTGTAAGTAACTTGATGGCACGTTATAACAACAACAACGAAAATCATAAAAACCTTTATTAAATGAAAATGTCAAAATGTGAAGCTACTGTTTCTCGACATGTCCTTCATCTAGCCCTATGCATTTCTGAAGTGTTTCCATCTCTCTAACCTTTCCCCCCCGAAGAATTCTGCATTCTTCAATTTATGCCATGTCAGAACGGGAGTTTGGCATCCTTGAGGAACTCAAATAGTGTTCCTTTTCAATGTTCTTCGAGTTTGGGGAACAAAAAGAAGTCTGAATGGGAAAGAAAGGGTAAGGTGAGAGGAAGAAAGAAGAAGAAGAAAAAAAAGAGTAACCCACTACAATTTGATGAACTTGACCTATGCTTGTGGATTCAATAGGGCAAAGGAACCAACAAATCTTTACAGTGAGGATCATTCCCACCCCTTTGGTACACAGGGTTGACAAGGATGGGTAACTTAGACACTGGCTACCCAAAATGGGGGTGCCACAAAGGCAAGAAGTGACTTGCTTACAAGCTTTCAATAAGGAACTTAGTTCCAGAGGGTATGGGGAAAGGTAGACTCTCCACTGAGTGGTTTCTAACCTGTCTGGACATGGCTGGTGAAAGAAGATGGGGGTTAGACTCTTTTGGTTCATTAGGGAATGATTGCTATCAGGTCTGACACTGAATGTTGGAAAGGTAAAGGTAGATGTAACAAAAGGAGGGGAGTGGCTGATTTTGCAGTCCAGGAGGCCCTGGAACCATTAAGGGAGAAAAGCGAAGTACAGGACCCTATCCAGAGAAGCAGTGATGCCAGGGATGGAGGCTGAGATGTGGTGTGGAGAGATGGAGCAGCTGGGCACTGTAGACTCAGGGAGGGAGAGGGGCTGTATGCTGACAGCCGGGGGGCAGGCATGCGGGGTGTACCCTTGTTTGATGGTTGTTTGATGATGCATGCAGGGGATTGTAATCATTGCAATGAAACGAAATATGATAGGATGAATGTAAAGATAATGTTCTCCCATGTAAGCTATCAATTAATTCACAATAAAAACTTAAAAAAAAAGAAGGGGTAAGGTTTTCCAATAAAATTCTCATAGGCTAGTCCTTGCTGAAGAATGAGCAACTTCACTGTTATGATGGAAACCATTTCCTTGCTTTTTTTCCATCAATGCAGTGTTCAATTTTCTTAAAATTTCTTTATAATAGCTCCCATGATTGTCCTGCGTCCTTTGAGAAAATCTATCAAGACAGTTGTTGCTCTTCTTAGGTGTTGTCAAGTAGGTTCTGACTCAGTGATCCCATGCACAGTAGAATGCAATGATGCCTGGTCCAGCACCATTCTCAAACTTGTTGTTAAGTTTAAGCCCACTACAGCTACGATGGTGCCAATCCATCTTGTTGATGGATTTCCTCTTTTTCACTGACCACACTTTGCCAAGCATAATGTCTTTCTCCAGGGACTGGTTCCTCTTGACAACATATCCGAAGTATGAGAGATGAAGTCTCCCCGTCCTTGCTTCTAAGAAGCATTCTGGCTATACTTCATCACCTCCTAAGCTCTCTGCCTTGAATTTAACTGGCCCAGCAGAAGCCACTATTTTGATTGGTTATTTATTTACAAATAAAGCTTTTATTGTGAACTGAGTGATAGTTTATATTGGAGAACATTGGTTTTGCACTCATTCTATTGTATTTCATTTCATTGCAATGGTTACAATCCCCTCCATGTACCATCATCCAACAGTATTTGATTCTTTTCCCTCTGTTTGTTTTTTTTCTGATGTACACAAAAATATCCGGTAATATATAATCATTTAAACAACTCAAGGGCACATTCTGCAAGCCTTTCTCCTGACTGCCAGCATACAGCCTTTCTCTTTCCATGAGTCTGGAGTCCTCCTCAGCTGCTTCCTCTCCCCATGTCCTTATGTCTGCCTTCATCTCTGGTGATGTTGCTTTTCTGGATAGGGTCCCACATTCTGTTCACACTCTTCACCCTTGATGGTCCTAGGCACCTCTGTTCCTGGACTGTAAGATTAACTACTCCCTGCTTTATGTTACTAAACTTCTACTTTTACAGTTGTGACAACTGTTGTTAACTGGAAGGTTGGAGGTTCAAGTTCATTTAGAGGCACCTTGGAAGAAAGGTTTGGTTATCTACTTCTACAAACACACCTATTTAAAGCCCTCTGTAGTGAAGTTCTACTCTGACATACCTGGATAACCATGAGCTGGAGTCAACTCCATGGAAACTGGTAACTTGAAGGTAGAATGGATCAGCCTTTTCAGGGCATTTATGTATTAATTCATTCACTCATTTAGTCACCAAATACAAATTTCCTGAGTAGCATATATGTACCAGCTAGGTACTGTTATACTTGCTGGGGGATATAGCAGGGTTAGGACAGATCAAAACCCCTGCTCCCCTCCAGAGAGGGTGAGGTGCTGGGTGCTGACGACTGCTGGGCAGGCTTGTAGGGTATACCCTTTGGTTGGTTGATGATGCATGGAGGGGATTGTAACCATGGCACTGCAATGATATATGATAGGATGAATGTAAAACTAATGTTCTCCCATGTAAACTATCATACAATTCACAATAAAACATTAAAAAAAAAAAACAAAAAAAACAAAAAAACAAAAACCTTGCTCCCATGAGCTTCTATATATAGTCTGAGAGAAACAGTGACAAAAATCAACAGTAAACTAAATCTTGGGTTTCATCCAATCTAAGATGCCATCAACTTAAAAATATATAATTATTTTATGCCCCACTAAGAAATAAACTAGTCGCCAATTAAACTATGACCTGCCATGTAGTATAATTTGCATCCTGATTTCAGAGATGATAAAATGTGGGAAAAACATGCATACCCTCAACCTATGAGATTCAGTGGAATGTCATACAATGAAAAGTGCTAAAAGTGAAGGGGACATGGGAGTGGGAAGGGGACTATAGTTTTTAATAGGGTGGAGAAGATGATATTTGAGAAGGTGACATTTGGATAAAGCATAGAATAAATCAAGAGATCGATTCTTGCTCACTGATATATGGGTGAAGAGAATGGCAGTCAGAGGGGATAGTAAATGCAAAAACTTTGCAGGGGGTGGTATGTGTGTGGGTGTGGTGTATTTAAGGAACACAAGGAGGCTGGATAAAGACTTTTGGAGATGAAATCCAAGAGACAGCAAGAGGCCAGATCCTATAGAGACTTGGAGGCCAGTCCAAAGGACTCAGGTGTTGATTCTACATGAGACAAAGCCATCACAAGATTATTTCTCTTTTTATAGGGTCACAGCCTTTGAAACCCTGTACAGGGTCGCTATGAGTCGGAATCGACTCCATGGCACATAACAACAACAACAAAAAATATATATATATATATATGTAAAGGTAAGGACAGGAGCAGGGAGACCAACAAGGAGGTTGACACAAAAATTCAGGTGTGAGATGATAGTACCTTGGATCAGTGGAACTGGTGAGAAGTGGTTAGGGTCTGAGGTGGAGCTAAGAGTGGTTAGTATTAGATGTGGGGTATGAGAAAAAGAAAGGAGTTATATATGACTCCCAGGTTTCCGGCCTGAGTAATGCCAGGATAAGACTGCCATCAACTGAGATGGTGAAGACACAAGATGAAAGGTCTGGATGCTCTTGTACACATGTTAGATTGAGAACCCTATAAGACACTCAGGAGATGATGCTGAACAGGCAGTGGTACCTAGGAGTTGAGAGATGAGCGGAGATGCTCAGGAAGAAGATATATACTGGATGGCGTTTGTAGTCATGAGATAGGGAGCGACTGCAAATACAAATGGGCAGAGGATCAAGGATTGAATCCTGATCAAGGTTATCTGATATATTGTGCACAGTCAGGGAAGTGCAGGAAAATCTGCAAAGGATACAAAATGAGAGAAGCTAGTGATGTGGGAAGAAAGCTAGGAGAGTGAAATGTCCAAGAAGACAAATCAGGACAATGGGTGTCAAGGAATATGGAAGGAGCAATTGTGTCAAAGAAAGCAACTGTGTCAAGAAAGGTGAGGATGGAGAATTGGTCACTGGATTTAGTCACCATGAGGCCAGTGATGACCTTGAAGAGGGTGTAAGTTCAGCTGGAAAGGACTAGAAAGAGAAAGGTGAACACCGCTTTGAGGATTTGTTATAAAGAAAAGGAAAGGGACCCTTTAATAGATGGAAATAGTATTTATAAAGTTCATTTTTTTTAAACATGGGACAATTACTAGCATATTGGTATATTGATAGAGTCCCTGGATGGTCCAAACAGTTAACATGTGAGTTTGCTAGAACTTTAAGTAGAGGTTGGGGGTTTGATTTCCCTCAGAGGCACCTTGGACAAAAGACCTGGCAATCTGCTTCCAAAAAAACCAGCCATAGAAAACCCTGTGGAGTACAGGTTTACTCGGACACACATGGGGTCACCGTGAGTTGGAGTTGACTTGATGATAGGCTTGTTTTGTTTTTTTTAAAGCTGGTTTTAGTAAACTGATAGATAGGCTAGACCCAGCTCAGGAAGGAAAATTGAAGACACTGTTGAAGTGATGTTCTGGAGAACAGATTGGAGAGGTTAGTTTTAGACAAGAGCGGGAACAAGCCATCCTTAGAAAGCAGAGAGATGGCAGTGTCTACGAGAGCTCTTTCTTGTTTTTTCCTAATCTCTCATGGAGAAAGAATCAAGGTCATCAGTGAAGAGTCAGGATAAGAAGGACTGGAGTTTTCAGGAGAGAGGAGAAATAAATTAAGACATCTGGGTGAGTGGGAAAGTAAGAGATCGAGGGGAGGAAATATAATTGCTAGACAGGATTAAGGGCTCAGTTAAGGCTTGTTGTTGTTGTTAAGTGCTGTCAAGTGGGTTCTGACTCATAGCGACCCCGTATTGGATTTCCAAGAGCAGCTGGTGAGTTTGAACTGCCAACCTTGTGGTTTGCAGTCCAGTGCTTATCCTATAGCACCACACCAGGGTTGTTGTTGTTAAGTGTTGTTGAGTCGTTTTGATTCATAGTGACTGTATATAGGGTTTCCGAGGAGTGACTGGAGAGTTTACACTACTGACCTTGTGATTAACAGTCTAATGCTATCTACAGCACCACCCCAGGGCCTCATTTCATGGTAGTGATTATTATAAAACGTAGCATGATTGCGTATTTGTCCAATTGCACAGGTGGAGAGGCGATGCATGTTTCACTTTGACAGGGTTGGGGCTCTCCCAAGTGAGTGAGAAAGAGACAAGGGCATGAGGGAGCATGGGTAGGAGGGAATTGTTGCAATGACTGACTATGGAATATAAGTAGGACCTGGGAAGGGGGCTACCTTACCAGAATCTGAGAGATGTGTAGTGAGTTAAGCAGTTGGGTAGTGGGCACCGAGGGCCTGCTGGAAACCCTGTGACCCTTGCTGTAACACCTGGAAGAACCGTTGTCTATAATATTGGGAACGAAAGATCATGTATTTCCCCAAACCATTATCTAGGCCCGGGGAAATGAAAGATGCTCATGGTAACCCCTAGAGGTAGTACAGTACAATCCAGGCTTCTCCATTTATGAGCTGGGTGACCTGGGCAGGTTGCTTAGCCTTTCTGAGTCTTGAGATCCCTGATCTGTAAAATAGAGGGAATATATGCATGGGATGTCGTGACAATAGTGTTCAAAAAGTTCTTACCCCAGCACTGTTGTTGTTGTGTGTTGTCAAAGTCAATTCCAACTCATAGCAACCCTGCCTAGGGTTTCTGAGAGTGGCTGGTGGGTTTGAACTGTAGACCTAGTGGCTAGTGAGGTTAGCAGTGCAGTGCTTATCCTATAGTACTACATCAGGGCCCTAACCCAGCACTGGAAACTGTCAATGCTGGTACCATTGCTGCCTTACTGATTAAGTGGTTTATTTAAATTTAATGCCACCGATGTAGCATTCCACAACCCCAGCAATGCAGGGGAGACTCTGTGTGGGATCAGACAAGCTCTTTCTCCTCCTGTCTCACTTCCTCTCGTCCTCCAGCCACCAAAACATGATAGCCTGACATTCTGTACCCACAGGGTATAGGAAAGTAGTTTTCCCATTGGCCACAGATGGAGACAAGCCACAGCGCAATGAGCGCTTTGGCTGCTGCCATGGTAACCAGCAACGGCCAGACTTCAATTAGGAAGGAGGAATAAAAGGCATCCAATTAGGAGAAGAAAATAGGATTGATTCTCTTCTTCTCTAGGAATACCCAGGGCTGGAGAAATGCTTCACTAGAGGAGCTGGGTTTGGAAAAGCATTCTGCACTGTCCTTCAGTATCCACCACACTTGCCAAATCCTTCAAGTTGCCATCCCAAGCTGGCTGCTGACTGAGATCCCTGTGAGCTCACAGGGAGCACTGTGCTGGCTCCTCTCTGCCCACAATTCAAAGACTCATCACTGATAATGAAATGGCTTGAGGGACAATAAAGCCATTCAATTCTTTGAGCTCATTCCTGAGTTATCAACCTATCCCCATTTTACAGATGAGAAAGCTGAGCCACACGCCCATAGGCCATACTATGAGTAAGTGATAGAACAGGCATCTGCACTCGGGTCTGTGTGACTCTGAGGGCATGGCATGGCTTTCTCAGGACAAAACTGTTCCCAGGGCTCCTACATCTCCTACCCTATCAATGGACCGAGGAGGAGGAAGTTGGCACAGCCGTGTTCTAGGGAGGAGACTAGCAATGGCCCATTCAATAAGAACTGACTGTGCATCATGCACTAGACCAGGGGCTTTACAAGCACCATTTCACTGAATTCTTAAGACAACTCTTCTAGTAGGCATCAGGTGGGTATTATCATTCCCATTTTATAGATGACAAAACTGAGGATGGAAGCTGTTAAGTAACTTGTCCCAGGACATTCAGCTACATAGAAAGTGGTAAAGGTGGGATTTGAGCCCTGGTATGTTTGGTCTCATTATTCTGTGTTTTTTTTTGTCCAACCTCTAAATGCAATACAGTAAAGTTGTGGGATGTGGCTATTATCTTCCAGAGTTTAGAAAGAACTTTCAGGTCAAATACTCTTACTCTCATGAAAGATGCTCCCCACATCGCCCCAATAAATCTGAGAACTCTGTGAAAGAATCTCTCTTCCTAGAATCTAAGATGACCATGCCTGATAATACAACTTGTGTTCCTGTCACACCATCTCATTGATGAACCAAACCCCAGAAGGATGGACAGACAGATGGGTGTACAGGTAGACAGACACGGTCCTTACCAGGCACTCCTCCAGATGGCTCTTGTCAGTGGTACAGACATCGACTCTTAAGGTCTTCTGGTGAAGGGCTGGATAGGACACAGACACCCAAAACACCTCATTAAACACGAGGGTGTCTGAAGCGTCCAGGGGTCGGGTACGGAACAGGCAGATTGTGCTTTCAGAGCAAGGAAGGATAGCCACACGAATGTTCCTAGAGAGAGACAAAATGTGCAGGAGCTTGCATTAGCCTAGGTCTGCGGGTGAATGCATTAGGCTAAACAGCGGCTGAAAATCTCCAAGAAAATGGATGAATGTTTGAAGAATTTATCAGGTTATACATATTTGTGATGGAGGTACTACAACTCCTAAAGAAAACATAGTGCTTTTCCTTCCACTGAATCCTCTGAAACCTTAGAACCTCAAAGCATGTGGAGGCTGATGCCGATAGCTGCAAACTTCAATGTGGAGAAGGGTCATGGAGGACTCAGTATATACTGAGGGAAACAGGCCCCTCATACACTGCTGGTGGGAGGGCAAATGCTAAGAAACTTACAAATGCATCTGCGACATTTCACTTCTAGACACTATCCTATAGTTACTCTTGAACTAGTACCACTGAGATATGGAGCCGGTAATTCATTCTGGCACTTCTAGCATTGAAAACAATCCAAGGCTCCAATCTTATCTTGCTTCTACTTGGCCTGTGTTCCTTCCTTCTTTCCCTATGTTGCACCCCAGCTGTTGGTTGGGTATAGACCACACTATAAGTCTCTGTTGTTGGCCTCAAGATCTTATGGTTTAGTTCCTTATAGACATAATCTCACAGATATCCTTGCACTGAGATATGGAAAAGCAGAAAACTTGTAGACATATAGATGAGTGCTGTTCTTATTGTTAAGTACCATGGAGTCGGTTCCGACTCATAGTGACCCTGCACAGGGTTTCCAAGGCTATAAATCTTTACAGGAGCAGAAAGCCTCATCTTTCTCCCGTGGAATGTCTGGTAGTTTCGAACTGCCGACCTTGAGGTGAGCAGCCTGATTTGTAACCACTACACAGTTGCAATGGGAAGGACCAGCATGCTGACTATGCCAGTGTTTGCCATGCTATCAACCTCAATGTACATGAAGCACAGTGATTAGATTTGACTCTTAAAATAACAGATCTATCTCTTTATATTCATGCCATTCATCTTCATGAGAATTGAAGTTCATGAAGTCTTTGCCTACCACCCTGTTCCTAGTGACTGTCTGTGACAGGGGCACAGGACCTATTTGTGAAGGAACTGAAAGTCTCTATAATACTGGTCTTTACAGCCAGTATGTCTGCCACTGTGCCTAGATCCACATTAGCAACACTGGCATTTTCATCATGGCGTTTGTGGTATAAGTTGCTCATATACATAACGCTCATGGTGACTCTGTGTGTGACAGAATTACATGTCCACTTCTGCACCACCTTCACAATCATTATATCCGAATCCACTCTTAGGCTGTCATGTCAATTTGTCTTATTGATGACTTTTCTCATTTTCTACCTGACTAAACAGCAAGTCCTTTTCTGATGATTTTTATCTCCTCATAATGTGCACACAGAAAGGGGGTCAAAGTCTCATCATCTTTATTCTCAGGAACATTCTCGATATATTTCTTCTAAGACTGATTTGTTTGTTCTTCTGGAAATCCATGGTATATTCAATATTCTTCGCTAACACCACAATTTAAAATGCATTAATCTTGTTTTTGGTTTTTCATGATCTAACTTTACATGGATATGAGGTCACTGAAAAGACCATAGTTTTGGTAGACAGACAGACAGACACCTTAGTCATCAAGGTAACATCTTTGCTTTTTAAAACCCTAAAGAGGTCTTTGGCAGCAGATTTGCCCCATGGATACTATGTCATTTGATGCCTTGACTGCTGCTCCCATGGAGGTTGAATGTTGATCTAAGTAGAATAAAATCCTTGACAACTTCAATCCTGATAACATGCATGAAATACTCACCATGGGTCACCATCAGAGCAGGATAGGGCAAGAGTGTGCTCTCCTGGGACTAACAGGGTAATATACAGCCTGCTCAGCAATATACTCACACTTTTTGGTCTTGTTGCAGCAATAGAGCAGAAAGGTTATTCAGCTGGATGATTAATATTGCAAACTGCTTATTCTTCTCATCATACCTGAAATGAAAATGTGCAGATGTAGTGCCTATTAGAACCCACTCCTCTGTCATGGCTGCTGGCAGCTGGGGACTGTGCTGAGTGGAAAACACAGACCCAGTACATGAACATCCAGCAAGAGTGCAGCCCACAGCAACTTAACACTTCAGCGATCAACTTTTGGGGTCTATAAAGGCATAAAGTGGCTAGTTTACAAGATCTCATGAGGGTGCTTAGGGTAAAACAAGGGGGGTGGTAAGATAGAATCCCCACTGAATAGCTTTCCTTTTGTCCAGATGGGTCTGGTGATGATGGGACAGGATTTTATAATTCAACTGTGAGTAACTGTTATCAGGACTAATGGTGATTGTCACAACTGTAAATGTAAAAGAGATATAACTAAAAGGAGGGGGCACTTAATCTGTCATTTGAGGAACAGAGGACCCTAAGACCATCAAGAGGGAAGTTCATGAGAGGAGCGAGGGATTCTAACCAGAAAAGTACAACAACAGAGATGGTGGCAGAGGTGATGGTGGCAGGGGTGATGGCACAAAGAGACAGAGCAGCTGAGGACTGTAGGCCCACAGACTGAGAAAGGCAGTGCGTCTGTGGGCAGGAGGATGGCTTCTAAAATGTGCCCTTTGGACATTTAAACGAATATATACTTTCAATGTGGTATGTGAACATTAAAAAAAAAAAAGGGGGGGGCAATAGAGGTAAATACTGTTAGCTGGCGTTGCATGGAGGGGATTGTAAGCTTTGCAATGATTTGCTGAATGTAAAACTGATCTGCCCTATGGATCTTCACTCAATTCACAATAAAAGCTTTAAAAAAAGAGTACAGCCCAGAGGGGTCACTCATCTGCAGTTTTAAAGGGAAGTCAGAAATTTGTGCAAACTGTCCTGATACAAAACGTTGGCAATTAATTCATACTACAAACATAAAATATATAAGCCATTCTCTGTCAACAGTGAAAAAAAAAAAAAAAGCATTTGCCTAGCCACCAAGTCAGGCTGCAATTCCCAGAGGACAAGTTCCACCCAGACTACTGAGACCCAGATGGTGATACAGGGAGACAAATGCCACAGAAACAAGAGACAAAGAGAACCAGAGTCAGGAAGTTTCAGGGCTGGCTCTGCCCAGCTTGGTATCTTGAGACAAACCACAATTTCTTTCCAAACCTCATTTTTCCCATCTGTGAAATGGGGAGCTTGGAGGTAGGAAAGAGTTGATAGCCCTTTACTTAAAAGCACACAAGTGTAAGTGCTAGTAGAATGGTAGCCACCAAGAGGGGCAGTGGCCAGTTCCCCTCTCTGTTCAGCCTCCCTCCTCAGTTTCTTACTTCAGGGCAATCTGAACTCGTGTTGTACCCACGGCTTCTGATTCATCACTGTCGAAGAAAGCAGCCGCTTCAGAAGCACCGAGTCTGAAAAGCAGCAGAGGGGTGGACGGGTTAGGTTTCCCTGAAGCAGCCTAGAGCCACACCGTCTTCTAGCCCCAGGGTGCTGTCTGGTAGCGTGTTCTGGGATCCTCAAGAAGAGTTTGGGTCTGCTTAGCCTCCTTCTGAGCCTTGCCTCCCAGGATGTGCCCAGATCCCTCTATTAAAGGTGCTTTCCTTTCTCCAGTGCTTTTCTGCTTTCCAGGGATCTCTTAATGGCTATCATTTGAACCCTCAAACCCCACCAGGGTGTCTGCATCTTCTGTAAGCCCCAAACAGTGTTGCAAGGGGAAGTTGAGGGAACTCAGGAATGCCCTCCTGGGGGCTGACCTCTGTGTCCCCAGAGTTCCCATCCTACACAGATGCAAAGCCAGGACCCACCTCTGCACAGAAGCCTCATACACACCACTGTCCCCTGCCACGGACTCATCGGACACTGCAGCTGAGACACAGGCCACTTTGAGACTGCATCCTTGGGCTGCATTCACGGCTGGAGGAGAAGAGAGAAAAGGAAGAACAGAAAGGTGAGTACCTTAACCAAGATGGTATTTTAGGATTTTGTAGTTAACATCACAACTCTTGGGGTCAAATTGCTTGGGTTTAATGTTCAATTTCACCTTTGCTGTTTTGTGACTTTGGGAAGCTGATCTGACTTCTTTCAGCTCCAGATTCCTCATCTGTGCAGATGGGATAAGAATGTTGATCTTACAGGGTTATTGGGAAAGCCAAAAGACACATTGTAGGTGGTCTTCATGTAGACATTGGTGCAACATAAGTGCTCTATGAAACTGATTACCACTATCCTTACTTTGGAGTCCTGCTGTAGTGCTGTCCTGGATAAAGCACTGGACCACAAGGTTGGTTTGAACCACAAGGTCGGTGGTTCAAACTCACCAGCCACTCCTTGGAAACCATATACAGGGTCGATATGACTTGGAACTGACTTAACATCACTTAACAGCAACAACAACAATCCTTACTTTGGAACTCCTGGCATGGGACTGTAGGATCAGCATTGGGCTGAGAACCATAAGGTCAGCAGTTCAAACCCACCAGCTACTCAAAAATCTTATTCAGGGTCGCTGTGAGTCAGAACTGACTTGATGGCACTTAACAGCACTTAACAACAACATCCTTACTTTGGAGTACTAGTGTGGCAATGTAGGGTAAGCATTGGACCACAAGGTTGGTTTGAACCTAAAGGTCAGTGGTTCAAAGCCACCAGCCACTCCTCATAAACCCTTACAGGGTCACTATGAGTTGGAACTGACTTGACAGCACTTAACAACAACAATTCTTTACTTTGGGGTAACGGTGTGGCAATGTAGGATAAGCACTGGACTTCTAACCGAAAGATCAGCAGGTCAAAGCCATCAACCACTCCTCAGAAACTCTACACAGGGTCATTATGAATTGTAATTGATTTGATGGCAGTTAATAACCACATCCTTACTTTGGAGTCCTGGTATGATGCTATAGCATAAACACTGGACTGCTAACTATAAGGCTATTGCTGGAAACCAGCCACTCCTTGGAAACCCTATACAGGATCACTATGAGTCGGAATCGACTTGACAGCACTTAACAACATCCTTACTTTGGAGTTCCTGGTTGGTGTAAATGTTGAACACTTGATTGCTAACTGAAGGGTTAGAGGGTTTGAGTCACCTCAGAGGTGCCTCAGAAGAAATGCATGGCAACTTACTTCTGAAAAATTAGCCACTGCAAACTCTGTGGAATGCAGTTCTACTCTGACATACATGGGGTCCACCATGAGTCAGAGTCAACTCAATGACAAATGGACCTAGATTCGTACTATTATGTCTTTCACGATGGTAATACCTTTAGGAGCAAACCCTCAGGAGGGGTAAGGGAAGAAAAGGAACAGACTTAAGCACTTGTTTTACCACTCAGCCTATCTCATCTCACACCGAATTCACTCCTCCAAGGCCTCCTTGCCAGGGGCTCCTAAGCAGGCATGAGGTACATGCTATACATTCTTTCGTTTTCCCCCAGAGAATGAGCACATGAAAGGTATCTAAGGTACCCTGGTGATGCAATGGTTAAGCACTTGGCTGGTAACTGAAAGGTCAGCAGTTCAAACGTACAAGCTGCTCCACAGGAGAAAAAACCTTGGAAACCCTGTGGAGGAGTTCTACTCTGTTACATGGTGTCGCTATGTGTCAGAATCAACTTGATGGCACTTTAACAACAGTAGAACACCCAACAGCCCTTTGGGGCTGGACCAAGCGCCAATGATGAATAAGCCAACCTGTGCCATCTGTGCGGAAGATAGAGCAAAATTCAGGTCTTTCAACCTTACAGCAAATACACTATAGCCCTACTGACTGTCCAGCACTGGGGACAGACTGAGGATAGGATAAGGACTTTCAGGGTAGAGGTTCATAGAACCCCTGGACAGTTCCAGACTTGGAAAAGCCAGCTGGGAGGAGACCATGCTGGCCTAGGGGAAACCGAGTGGTCAGACAGGAGTGGCTTTTCCAGTCTAAGACCCACACCTGCTGAGGACTGCTGAGACCTCCCGCCTGCAGACCCACATAGCTCCACCCTCCACTAAACCACTTAAGGAGATTAATTTGTCTGCTGACTGAACAGCGGCACTAATCACTTAACCTGCTTAATGCCGAGCTCAGCTAGGCATCGTTCACTGGCAGTGAAGGCTTCTAGAGACTGCTGGAAGGAAATGCCACCCCAAGTCCCATGCTAGACTCATTCCCAATGTCCGATCTCTGTCCACAAGCCTCAAGTATGCTGTTGGGTAGGTGAGGGAGGGGTCTGTCTTCAGGAGGCAGCTGGGGCTGAGCGTCCCTGACTTGGCTTAATGCTGCTAGACACGTAGCATCAGAACACTTCTTGAACCTCATTAGATTTTCCACCTGTATGCCTTCCTCTCCTGGGAACAATTTTCTGAAGTTTGCCACCTGCTGTAATAGAAAGCCTGTTTTTATTTTTGTCTAAGAACACTCAGCCATAGACTATTGACTCCCTTCCCGATGAGGGAATTCCAAGGGATCTTCCTGACTCTTCAGCAAAGAAAATTGCTAGTACTCGCCTGCCCAGCAGAGCCTTTAATCAGTCAGGAAACGTCATCTCCCCTTTCTTCCCTCCACCCGGGAACAGATGGCACACTCGCACGCACCTCTAGAGCCTCAAGGATACGATGAGCCTGGTTTCTTTTGGGTGGCCTCATGGAAGCCAGGCTGCCCTGGCCCCAATTCTGGCTCTGCCACTTCATAGCTATGGGGCTGACTCTGGACAAGTTATTTGTTGTTGTTGTTATGTGCCGTGGAGTCAGTTCCGACTCATAGCGACCCTGTACAGGGGTTCCAAGGCTGTAAATATCGGAGCAGAAAGCTTTCTCTTTCTCCTGCAGAACAGCTGGTAGTTTCGAACTGCTGACCCTGAGGTTAACAGCCTGATTTGTAACTACTATGCAAAAAAAAAAAAAAAAAATATATATATATATAGCACCTACCTCACTGGCTTGTTGTGAGGCAAAAGTGAGTTACTATATAATAGTATTTGTATCTTTTACATGTGTACTCAATGCTGTAGGATAAGCACTGGACTGCTAACTACAAGGTCAGTGGTTTAAATCTACCAGTGGCTCCATGGGCAAAAGAAGAGACTCTTTGCTTCTGTAAAGATTTAGTCTCCGAAACCCTCTATAGGGTTGTTCTGAGTCAGTATCAACACAGTGGCACTAGGGTTATTGTTCTCAAGGAGCTCTGGTGGTGCCGTGGGTTAAGCAATGGGCTGCTAACTGAAAGAGCAATGGTTGAAACCCACCAACTGCTCCTTGGGAGAAAGATGAAGTGATCTGCTTCCATAAAGACCTAAAGCGGCAGAAAACCTGTGAAGCAGCATTCTTGGTCCTATAGGGCCGCTACGTGCCGTAATCCACTCAATGGCAGTGGATTTGGTTTGGTGGTTTATTGTCCTCAGAGGTTCCAGGAAGACCAAGGAGCACCCGGGTGAGTTCAACAAGTATTCTATTCCGTCCTGACCTCCACACCCGAGGACAAATGGACTTGGCGATGCTAGCAAGCACCGGGTCTTAGGAGTAAACACTTGAGCTACCTCGCACCCTAACAGAAGAGCATGTTAAGAAAGGGGCTGGACTCTGGACTTCAATCTCTACTTCCTCGCTGGCTGAGTGACCTAGGGCAAGTAACACCAACTCTCTGAACCTCTGTTTCTTCATCTGTGAAATGGGCATAATAGAAATAACTATCTTCCCATGTAAAGTACTTGGAGCCTTAGCCAACGGATAATGCAGCCTTAGTAAATACTAATGCTTACGATTTCTTAGGTGGTCGCTGCTAAAGATGGTGACTTTCCCCTAGTAAGTCTTATCATCCTGTTTTATTCTGAAAATTCCAACTTGAATCTCATTCAAAAGAAGAATGCTCTTTCTGACTACATGTAGAATTGCTCTGTACTTAGAATAGAACTCAAGTCCCATCCACAGCTACCACACATTCCACATCCCAGATTCTGCCCATTCTCCAGCTTCATTGGGTGACTCACACTTCAGACTCAGTGCTGCCCAGTGCCTTTCATAATTCTGGCTCCTTCTCACTGGTCACGCCTGACCTCAGAGGCCACCTTCCCTCACAATCCAATCTGAACTGGCAGTCCCACCCCTGACCTGAACGAGACTCCAATTTTATATTCTTCATTCTGTTTATACTGATCTGACTGCACACTTACTGTGTGCTCCTCCACTTGAACCTAGGCTTCCTGGGAACAGAGATCCCATTTGTCTTCAACATCCTTAGTGACTAGCCAAGGACCTGGCACATGACATGTCTGTTGAATGAATGAATGAATCTTAGCATCGGACCCAGTACTTAGTTTTAGTATGTAATTAACAAATACCTGTTGAATGAATGAACCCACCATGACAGACACTTAGACAAGGACATGTTATTAACAGCCACTGAGTTTATGGTGGCCCCCAATTTATGGTGATCACATGCATAATGGAATGCAATGCTGCCCAGTCCTGCACCATGCCCACAATCGACTACAAATCAGATCGTTGTGATCCACAAAAGTTTCATTGGCTGGTTTTTGGAACTAGATTGCCAGGTTGTTCTTCCTAGTCCAGAAACTCTGCTGAAACCTATCTAGCCCCACAGTAACAGGCAGGCCTCCACTGACAAATGGGTGGTTGTGGTGCACTGGCTGGGAATTGAACCTGGGTCTCCCACATGGCAGGTGAGAGAATTCTACCACTGAACACCAATGTCCCATAGCGCATAAAGCCAAAAACCAAACCTGTTACTACTGAGTCGATTTTGACTCATGGCAACCCTGTGTGTTACTGTGCCATATAGGGGTTTCTTGACTAATCTTTATGGATGCAAATACCCAAGCCCTTTGTTCTGCAGCATCACTATGTGGGTTTGAATTGCAATATTTAGGCTAATAGTGGTGATGGTGGCTGTGTACCTTGGTGTTGGTTCTGACTCATAACAACTCAGTTTAGGATTCTCAGACTGTAAATGTTTATGGGAGCAGAAAGTCTTGTCTTTCTGTTGTGGAAGTGCTGATAGATTTGAACTGCTGACCTTGAGGTTACCAGCCCAACTCTTAACCTAAAAACAAGCTCTGGGAACATAGTGGGCTAATAGTTAAGCACAAACCATTTGCGTTACCCAGAAACCCATGTAGCACAGAGCATTTCCCTCCTCCTGGTCTCCCAGCTCCCAAGTGTGGCAGTCTCTACCTTGGCCCAACTGTTTGCCATCCATTCCTGGCTCCTCCAGCTGGTACCTCTCCCCAGTACTGCTGCCAAGGCTCAGTTCACAAAGCGTGGCACTCAACTCAGGGTCTTCAAACTCGAGCGTGCTCAGGAAGGCGTCTCCAGCCAGGAGCGGGTCGGCGATGAGAGGAGAGCAGGGCGGGGAGGGGGAGGACAGGGAGGAACGTGGGGATAGGGAGGTCATGGACTTCGGGGTGCCAGACAGGGATCGAAGGGCCTGAAGGCGTCCACCCGCCTCTGCCTTCTGGGTCTTGGCCACCTCATCTTCGTGGATGGTGGTGATGCAGCCCGAGGGCCGGAAGCCTATGGCCCCCTCCAGGAGAAGCTCCACCTTGCTCTGTAGCTCCGAGTCCAGCTGCTCGAAGGGGTCGTAGTAGAGGTCGGTGAAGCTGGCTGAAGTGGAGGAATCTAAGCTGGAGGCAGCCAGAGAGCCCCGGCTGGACGTGAGAGAGCCAGGACTGCTGCCCGACGACAGTGACTGCATACTGCTGGAGGAGCTGGGGAAAAGAAGAGGCAGAGCTGACGGACCCACCACACTGAGGCTTCCTGCTCTTCAAAGCACCTGGGCACTGGAGCCTCATGTGGCTACCACCTCCCCCTACCATTGAACTGGGATTCGAGCCCACACTGGCTAGCTTAAAAGTTCTCTTATTCTTCCATCCTTTAGTTTCCTAACCTCTGTCAGTAACATTCCATTTTCAAGACTGTTTTCCAGATCTGAATACCAACGGAGCCAATATTTCTTAATATTGTTCTTCAAGGAAACTTACTTTATCAACTTTAAGACAACTGAGTTCAAAGGAATCTTTATATCTGAAGTGTATTGAAACGCAGCATGACTTATTAAAATCACAGGCTTCAGAAAGTACGTGGAAAAATGGAATGAAGAAGAGGATGGAATTTCTCCATGTACTTTTGAAGCCCTCTTGTAAAAACACAATTATTCAAAAAATCTGATGGGAACAAAATGTTATTACATTCCAGTTATGTACTGTTATACTTGACAAAGCACAGGCCTGAGGCCTGCTTTTCCAGTTTTATGAAGGTGAGTTGGCAGGTATTAGATAGCAAGAGTCCAAGACATATGAGCATCTAAATGGGACCTTCTCTTGCGTGTTACTAAAGGAATGAGGAGGCTGAGAACCCTGCACTTGGCCATACCTGTCCTAGTCCAAGCTGGTAAGAGTAGACATCTGCTGGGCATCTAATGTCTCAGAAGACAAAGGGAGGATAGAGAGTACTCCCCCTCCCTCCCACCACTCACCTTTTTAGCTGTGAGTGCAGCATTGCGAGCTGTCGAGTAGCTTCTTCCAGTTCTCTCACCAGCTGGTTCCTCTTACTGTTCAACTTTAACCTGAAGGGAGAGAAGGCATGAGAGGGATGCTCGAATGGAGTCCAACCCTCTACCTGTCTGAAAGAAGAAACACAGACTCAACACATAGATAACCGAGAACTTTCGGAAAGCATTTTACTCTGGTATTATACAATTCTATAGTAATTGCTGGATTCATCACCTACTATATATCATCAGCACTATGCTAGGAACCAATTTCATTGCCTTAAACCATTCTTAAAATAACTCTGCATAGTAGGAATGATTTTTACTACTTTCTATATGTAAGGAAAACAAGGCTTTGAAATAATTTACTTAATGCCACAGGAATAGTGGCAGAATTAGGAACCTACTAAAAGTTCCCTTCCTTCCTCTCTTCTTCCCTTCCTCTTTACTCATCCATGTATCCATCCATCCTTGAACTAACATATACTGAATACCCACTGTCCTTGGCACCGGGGATAAGGTAGTGAACAAAACACAATGTATCTCTGATCTTGTGGAATTTACATTCTGTTAGATAAGGTGTGAAGAACAGATATTAAAGTCAAGTAAGTATTTAATTAAAACACTGTGGTACAAGGTTCATGAGGAAAAGGACCAGGATGGCGGAGAGGACCATAAGAAGCAAGAACCCATTCAGACCAGCAGGGGTGGCTCTTTGAGGAGATGATTGTGGCTTAGATTGCTGTGTTCATCCATTCCTGTGCTCTCAGCTTACAACGTTCACAGCTGGACCACCTGTCCCGGACTCCCTTGCAAGTAGATAGGGTGGGGCATGTTAAGACCAAGTGCCAGCCAATGGGATGTGAGCAAAAGTGTTGTGCATACGGCCAAAGTAGTTATGAGAAGCCAATGTGTCTTCCCCACAGTCCCTTGAAGCCTGGAAGGGGAGGTGCAACAAGATGTGACGAACCTGGGTCCTAAGGAGTAATCCCATGGAGGGTTGCCTGACAACCAAGAATACCCAATGGGCCATTGTGTGGGCACCAATATAAAATTCTGTTGTGTTAAGACACTGTGGATTTGGGGGTTGCTTCTTGCAGCAGTTAGTTTGCCCTGCCTGGTAGAGAAATGTAAGCTGTTATAGAGGATGGACACAAGTGGGCCGGGGAAAGAACATTTCAAGCATGGAATTTAAGCAGAGAGCTTTTCATTCTAAGACCACCATGGCTGCTGTGAGGAGAATGGACAGGCAGTTATAATCACTGCAGGAAGTGGAGTTAGTGTGGCTGCAGTGATGTGACTGAGGGAGTTAGGAATAGTGTGGTGCTGGAAGAGATGGAGAAGAGTCAATCGGCTGGATGTGGAGGGTGAAGAGAGAGGAGAAAACGAGGAAGACTCTGAAGTTACTATCACGAGCGAGCAAGTGAATGGAAGGGGAGGTGCAACAAGATGTGACGAACCTGGGTCCTAAGGAGTAATCCCATGGAGGGTTGCCTGACAACCAAGAATACCCAATGGGCCATTGTGTGGGCACCAATATAAAATTCTGTAAGTAAGCATGGCGCTTACTGAGATGGAAAGGCTGAAGTGGGGTGTAGCCTGGGGAGAGAGACGAGTTCCATTGTGGATATGTGGATATGCAGGTGGAATAGGTGGCCAGTTGTAGAGTTCAGAGTCACCATCACATGGACTACCAAGTGAAGAAATTTACTGTTTTAGGTAAAGTAAAGGAAGGGCCCAGAATTGAGCTCTAGTATATATAAACATCCACAGGTTGGATGGCCTAGCAATTGTCAGCTAAGGAGTCTGAGAGAATGAAACCAGAGAGTCCATAGGAAAGCCAGCTCAGTGTAACGTGTATTATGGAAACTGAGAGTGAAGATCTGCACCCAAGCATGTCTAAACTACACCCAGCTCAATAACTACCTTCTTAGAGGCAAAACTCTTGTGTTTGCAGACCTTTGAATACAAGCCCTCTCTAAGACCGTTGGTGTTATTGTTAAGTGCCATTGTGTCTTGTAGGTTCCAACCCACAGCGACCCTGTATAGGGTTTCCGAGGAGCAGCTGGTGAGTTTGAACTGTGGCCCTTGTGATTCAAACTGACCTTACAGTCCACTGCATTATCCTGCTGAGCCACATCAGAAGCTCCTCTATAAGACCCTAGCTTCTCCCAGAATCTCCATACAGGGCAGCTTGAGTTGTGTTGGCTCCCTCTTACCTACCCCAAGGTCCCAGGATCTAATAGGGCAGGGCCCTGTCAAGTAATCCTGAGTCCTCAAAAATTCACACTGCTTTTGTATATCCACAGGCTCAGAGGTTCTCATATGAAAATCACATAAAAATGCACATTCTTGGGTTCACTGAATCAAAACATCTAGGGACTTTTCATACTTTTTAAGCATCCCAGGTGATTTTTAGGCACACTAAGCTTTCTGAGCAACACTAATTAGGGACTGCAAGAAAGCAGTGGTCATCCCTCGCTCACCTAGTACCTACCCCGGTGCCTGCCACATGGATGTGCTGAAGAACTATTTGCTGAATAGTTGATTCTCTCCCAGCTGAAGTGGCCAAAGTTCATTTATTCTATGGAAGGATCTGAACATTAAATCTGCCAGCTCCTGATTCCCTTGGCCATCTTGCTGGAGAAGGGCTTTCTGCTCCACAGAATGGGGAATGTACCCCAGAGAGCAGTTAACCCAGCCAAGAACAAGGAGTAGGGTTTAGTTGCCATGGGAAAACCAAAGCATACCATTCCTCCACCAACACGGCCATTCAATGAAAGACTGGAACTTATTCTTGATTGTAGTTGAGCACTGCTGAGTCAATTCCAACTCCTAATGACCCCATGTGACAGAGGAGAACAGCCCTCCCTGTAAAGGTTTCTGGCCTATAATCTTTATAGGAACAGATCTCCAGGTCTTTCTCCTAGAGTTTTTGGTGGCTCTGAACCATCAACTTTCTAGTTTATAGCACTTAACCACTGCTCCACCAGGGCTCCTTGGGAGTTTGCTCCAGACACATTGAAAACTGGAGAGTACCAGGCAGAACAGCCGGGGCATGGCTCTTGGCCAGCTCTATCCTGGTGATGTTCTTACAGAGTCCCTGCCTGGGACTGGCAGGGCTGCAGCAGACCTGGCAGATGGAACCCATATTGAACAACATCCTTGACTCTCAGTGGAATGTACCAGGCTGTGAAATCTCCTGACTGACCATAAGAGCAGCTGTCCTGAGGACTTGGGTCAGAGAGCAGCTGGAGTTGCCACTTCCACCTTCCTTTTCTCTTCTTTGTGGTGGGGGGGAAAGCCAGAAGCATATCCTGGAGACAATGCAGAGGCAATCCTTTTATGGAGTCCCATAGGATGCTGAGGGAGCAGCAGGTTAGGCTGTCTCCATGCTCTGAGCCTGAAATAGCTACCAGTAGTAACACGCAGGTGGTGAGGCTCCCCACAAGGCTGGACTTAGCCTGCCATATGGCATATGTGTGGGATGCCTGGCACAGTCTGGGAAGCCAAGAAAAAATCAAGCAGGGAAGCAGCCGAGGACCCAGAAGGTGGGACTGGAATTTCCCCAAAACTACAGTTCCAAACCTGGAATGTTGGTTACAATTCAAGAGGCGAGGTGGAGCTGGGATCCTTGCTCTCACAGCACCCTCTCTACACACCAACTGTGAACAGCAGCAGCAGAAGGAAAACAATGGGAAGGGTGCAAGGTTGTCTAGATATCAGATTTGGATGATCTGAATGGTGTTTAAGGTTTGCATCCCTGGGGTCTGTCTTTCTAGGATGTGTCTACTGCTGTCCTTCTCAAAGGCACCTTGGGCGGGAGAGGCAATTATGTAACTGCAAGTAGCATAGTAAAATCCCATTCTGAGAGACAGACAGACTCAGAAAAAGAGACACACATATAGGAACAAAGATTGTGTTGTTGTTAAGTACCATTGAGTCGGTTCCAATCCATGGTGACCCTGTATAGGATTTTGGAGGAGTGGCTGAGGAACAAAGCTATAGAAAGGAAAAGAGAGGCTTTGAGAGAGAAATAGAAACAAAACAAGAGTCATAGGGTCCAGAATCAAACAGGTGTAGACACAAAGACCCCAGGACATCTTTCTTCTCTTTCCTGAGCACTATCCTCACCCTTCCCTCAGGCTGGGCTCTCCCTCTAGGCTTCTCTCAGAACCCTATGACTTCCTCCCTCATGCCCTCTGGCTTCCCTATTATTGCATTTTCTACAGAGGACCTGCCCTCTAGGACTGCCTAGTCACTGATTAAGTGTGGGGATTCTGCTTCGGAACTGACTGTGTGAACTCCAAGGGAGCCATCAGACTCTGAAAGATGGGGTTGAAGACAATAATAAAAGATCTGATGAGTAGCAAGCATGGGTCAGCCTCAGTTTCCTCTCTGGAAAATAAGGATTACCCTCAGGATTGCTGGGAGGTTGAAATGAATAATACAGGTTAAAGGATATGATACACATGGACGTTTTTGGATGTAGTGCCTCTAAGTGGGTCTCTCCAAGGACCCCCAATCCTAGTTTAAAGAAACCAAAATTGTTGTTGTTAAGTGACCAGTTCCAATTTAGTGATCCTGTATAGGTTTTCCCAGCCTTTAAGTCTTTGCAGGAGCAGAAAGCCTCATTTTTCTCCTGTGGAGCGGCTGGTGGTCTTGAATCACTGACCTTGTAGTTCACGGCCCAGTGCTTATCACATGGAGCCATGATATTCTCAAAATTGTTATAGCAGAGAGAAATCTCAAATCACAAAGTGGTCCTAATACCATCCTGGTTTCCAAGGAGCACTCTAGCTGTACTTTTTCCAATACAGATCTGTTTGTTCTTTTGGCAGGCTATGGTACTTTCAATATTCTCCTCCAACACCATAACTCAAATGCATCAATTCTTCTAAGGTCTTCCTTATTCATTGTCCAACATTTGCAAGCATATACAGGGTCACTATGAGTTGGAACTGACTATGAGTTGGAACCGACTCGATGGCACTCAACAACAACAAAATGAAGTTACTGAAAATACCATGGCTTGCGTCAGGTGCACCTTAGTACTCAAATTGACATCTTTGCTCTTCAACATTTTAAAGATTTGCATAAGGCAATACATCGTTTGATTTCTTGACTGCTCCTTCCATGAGTGTGGATGGTTACTAATAGCTGCTAACCAACCACCAATTATTCAGGCTGTATCCTTCTCCCTTTACTTGATGGAGGGTCAGAGTTCATCAGACATTCCTCCCAGTGGAGGACGGAGGAAACGAAAGCAACACCCACACTTTGGGTGTTGTTGTTAGCAGTTCTGATAAGACATTTTGTGGGGAGAGATGCCCCACCATGAACCAGTCCATAGATCTTTTTATTATAAACCACCACAGGCTTAGTAGCTGGGTACATCTGGACCCCTGCAATGTGCAGATGGTGCTAACCAAATTGTACAGCAGCATGAAAGCTAGAGGGAGTGTGGTAGCTCCAAACAATATGCATTGGACTGTGAACCACAAGGTCCGCGGTTCGAGCCCACCATCCACTCCACAGTAGAAAGATGAGGCTTTCTGCAACCATTGAGGGTTTAAAAAAAAAAAAAAAAGCCTCAGAAACCCTACACAGGGTCGTTTTGAGCAGGTTATTCTGACAGTACTTAACAACAATGATGCAAGTTGGGGTCCTTAGAGCTAGAAGATTTACTGATGTCCTCACACATATCATGGCTTGATGTAGAGAAAAACACATCCAGGCACCTAGAACCCCTGCCCTACTTTAACCAAGGCACCACCATGCTTACCTGCTTTATAAATTGGACTTCTGCCTCTAATTTCACTGGAAATATGAATCCCTGTGCTCATTCCTACCCCCAACACACACATACACACAATTTGAAAATCAGAAGCTTCAATTGTAAGCCCATCAGGGGAAGTGACTCTGGTTATAGTATCTGCTGCCGAAAAATCGAGAATAAGTAGAATAGATCTGAAGGTCATTGGGGCAGCGACCAGGCCTTATTACATTTCTGACTCCCCCAAATTGCTCTGCTCAACATAAAAGATGTGCCACAAAACAAATGGAAAATGACTGACTGACTGCTGGAATGAATGGAAGAATGAATGTGACACTGGGGATTGTAGAGGCTGCTGTGAAGTTGGTGTTATACCCAGTACACTGTGTGTGAGGTGCATGGTGGTGGGGACACCGAGGAAAAGAAAGATGCTAGCCTCTAACATTTTTATTACCTGCTTGGTCTCCATAAGCATTTCTATTTGTTCCCATAATACCACCCCTTCCCCTAATATGCCAGAACTTTTCTAACTGCAAATGGCAACTACTTATCATGTGGTAAAATCAACAGGAAAAGAAATGCAGCATGAGAGAAAATATTAGAGATCCAGCATACGTAGAAAGGGAATGTACTGTTTTGTGGAATTTCTGTATATTGGGTTACCACATAACATGTAAATTACTACCACAAAGTTGGAAAACCATTGTTCTTAATTAAGCAGAGTTCCTGGGAGGTGCAAACAGTTAGTGCATAACCACTACCTGAAAGGTTGCAGGTTGAAATCCACTCAGAGGTACCTTGGAAGCAGACCCGGGGATCTGCTTTGGAAGGGTCACAGTCTTGGAAACCATATGGAGCAGTTCTGCTTTGTACACGTGGGTACCGAGGGTTGGAATAGATAAGAGCAAATATCAACAAGTCTGACTTTAATCAGAATAGAAATTTCTGAGTATCTGTACCTAAGCAGATTTTTTGATAACTCATTTAATACCATCGAAAGGTGAATCATGTAGTTCTGAGTTCTCCACTGGAGAGTTAAGAGATCTCTAAATTGAGTGTTATCAAAATGGAGCTCCAGGTAGCCAGGTTGTCCTCCTTGCCTGCCTCTTTCCCCACTGGGGTCTGAAGGGCAGATGGACAGTGAAAGAAGGTTCCCATGCACTCCAGCACAGCCCCACCTCTCTGTCAGCGCCTTGCTCTGGGTGTCCCGGGCCGCCTGAAGGTCCTTCTCCAGACGCTTCCGGGCCATTTCCAGCTGTTCCACCTCTCCCTGAGTCCACTTCCGGGGACTGATGAAGCGCATCTCCTTCAGCAGCTCCTCCTTCTCATTGATGAGGATCAGCCGGTCCCTCTCTGAGTCCAGCACTCCAGGCCAGGCCTCGCTGTCAAGCTTAGCCAACTGGATCTTCAGGTTGGCGATTCTAGGGGCCGAGAAGGGAGAATGACTGGGGTCCCCAAGGACAGAAAGGGACAGACTATCAGACTGTACTTCTAAGGTTCTAGAGCACAAGGACCCAGGACATCCTCAGAACAAGCCTTGCTAATGACTGTTTCCTTTTGATCAAGAACATTCCTTTATCTAACAGACATGTGTGGGAGTCTATCATCGGTCAAGTGGTGAAGTTGGCTTTTCAGGGATGGGGACACACAATGAACAAGACATGGATCTTGCCCTAATGAACACAGCCTCGTACAGTAGAGATTCCTGGATTCAAAACCAGTTTATAACCACTTATCAACTGGCTGTGCAATTTTGGGAATGTTAGTTCATCTCTCTGATGGGAATAACAAAGTTATTGAAGTTGTGGTTGTGGACTTTATGACATAATTCATAAACTTCCCAAGCACAGTATCTAGTATATAGTAGGAGTACAATCAGTCAGTCAATCAATAATCACCAAATGTTTCTGTTATAACTGTTGTTATTACCTGGTCTGACCATTTATTATTAAGTGTATAACATTGGACAAACTTCTACAGTCTAGATTAGAAAGCAATTACTCACCCTTTAGAATTGCTTTGAAGATGAGCAATAATAAATTCAGAATGTCTGGCATGTAACAGGTGTTCAATCAAAGGCAGGTGTGGACCCACTATTACCATTACAAAAAGCTTAGAATCACTAATCACGTGTCTCCGGTTTAGTATGGCAGTGGCACAGTTAGAAGAGCTGGGGTTTTGGGATCAGAAAGTAAGTTGGAGTTCTGGTTCTGGACTTCTTAGTGAACGGGACCATTTCTTGATAAATCAACATTTACCTCTATTCAGTTTAACTACTGCATTCCTTTCTCTGTCTGCTGATACCTTTATCTTTTTTCTGCTAACCTCCCTCTTGTTGTATATTGTCTTCCCTGTCATTCATGTTAACACGTGTCTGCTCTCTAGCCCGGAGTCCTGGTGTGGCGCTGTGGGTTAATGCCCCAGACTGCAAGCCTTTTGAACTGCAAGGTCAGCGGTTCAAGCTCATCAGCTGCTCCTCAGAAACCCTATACAGGGTTGAGTCCTGGTGCGGCGCTGTAGGCTAATGCACCAGACTGCAAAGCCATTTGAATTGCAAGATCGGCAGTTCAAGCTCACCAGCTACTCCTTGGAAACCCTATCCAGGGTTGCTATAGGTGGGAACTGACTCGACAGCACTTAACTACAACAACCCTCTAGTCCATCAATAATTTTCCCTTTGCAACTCCCCTGTAACCGTCATAGATTTTTTTTTTTTTTAAATGTATTGAAAAAAATTTATATTTAGAATTAGCCAGCTGGACTCAGTTTAGATGATGCCAATTTTGTTGGCAACATCCAAAGCATCATAGTCAGGAGCCAGCTGAACATACGCCTTCTTTTCTCCGTCAGGTCTGATTAAGCTGTTGACCTTGGCTACGTCAGTGTCATAGAGCTTCTTCACAGCCTGTGTGAGCTGGTGCTTGTTGGCCTTGGCATCCACAGTGAACATAAGCGTGTTATTATCTTCAATCTTCTTCATGGCTGACTCAGTAGTCAGAGGGAACTTGATGATGGCATAGTGGTCAAGCTTGTTTCTCCTGGGGGCGCTCTTCTGTGGATATTTGGGCTGCCTTCGGAGCCTTAGAGTCTTGGGCCTCCAGAAGGTGGGTGACGTGTGGATCTTCTTTTTTTGTGTGTGTGTGGCAGTGGACGCCTTTCAGCACTGTCTTCTTGGCCTTCAACATCTTTGCTTTGGCTTCAATTTTGGGCAGGGGAGGGGCTTCCTTCTTAGCTTTCGGCACTATCTGCGTAAAAAGACTAGATTGTTTCTTTCATTAAGAAATTTTTTTTTTTTAACTTTTTACAATGTTGGTCTCATATGATGTTTGTCCTTTTGTGATTAACTAATTTCACTCAGTATAATGTCCTCCAGGTTCAACCATGTTGTGAGGTGTTTCAAAGATTCAACAGTTTTATAGTATTTCATTGTGTGTATGTGTCAAAGTTTGTTTCACCACTCTTTGGTTGATGGGAATTTAGGCTGTCTCCATCTTTTTGATGTGTCTTTTGTTGACAGTATATTGAAGGATCCTGTTTTCTTCTCTATTATGCTCTTCATGTCTCTTGACTGGAATATTGAATCCATTTACATTCAGTATAATTACAATAGGTATAAATTGATGTCATTTTCTATGTGTCTGTGTGTGGTTTTTTTTCTTGGTCCTGCTGGATTCTTTGTTTCACATACTTTCCTGTGCTAAATTCACTTTGCTTGAGGGTTTTCTTTTCAGTTTCATTTCTGTTATGCTAACGTTTACTAAATCTTTCCTCTTTTTTAAAAACTGATGTGTAACTGTAATATTTTTCTTAGAGGGTTGCCCTGTCATTTACTAATTTTAATTTCAATCATAGTAGAAGAAGTCAATGCTTAGGATTCTATGAAGCCAGGAAACATCTGAAGTCACTGAGGTCTCCACTTTAGAAAAGCACAACTTGCTCCTAGCTGTACAGAAGACACCAAAGCAGGAAGTTTTCAGAATCTTTTTAACTGTTGCTAAAACTTATGCTCCTTCAAACTCAACTTCAATTAGAAATAGATAATAGTGATGGTTGTACAACATGATACCTACAGTTCACGTCCCTAAATTATACATGTTAGGAATGTTGGTTACATACATATCTACTATAATAAAAACAAATAAATCAACAAACTGTTTATAGGTTCAACTAGGGCACCCAAGAGTATAGGCACAGAAGTAGGAAAGTGGCATGATAATTAGACGTTGAGGTCAAACAAATCTGGGATCAGACGACAGTTCTACCCTTTATCATCTCAGAGTCCCTGGGACAGTTGATTAAAATACAAGGAATATAATACTTCTCTTTCATAATCCTTGTGAGGATTAAATAAATTGAGGTGTGAGGAAAGCCAGGCACAGAACAAACACTCTACAGTAATAATCATTATTATTGGAAACATCCTACCTACCCCCATCTGCAACCCTCTAATTACCTTCTCTTAGCTTCTTCATATCGAAGACGCAATCTGACCTTCTCCGCCAACTGATTGTTGCTGCTGGTACCAAACTGGAGAAGAACAAAAATTTGGAGTTATATCGCTATATGGCCAGTGCTGAGTTGGATTTCCAGAACTCACAAGAGACTTGACAGCTTGTGTGGGAAGCAGCTAAGAATATCCCCTAATTACTGGGTTGCCTGTGGAGATCTCAGGGAAGCTAGTTAAGCAAAACACTTTCCTCCCTTCAGGCCATGGGAAGAGTCTCAAATTCAGACATCTCTTCCCTCTAGAAGAAAAGCCAAGGGCCCAAAATATCAACTTGCAGCACCAAATGGCTCAGAGCCAATTCAAGCCACAGAAGCGTGGGGGCAGTTGGTGAGGTGGCAACAAGGACAGCCAATAATAAACAAGAAAGCCATTCTGGGGAAGCCAGGGAGAGGGTCAACCAAAAACTCTAGGGAGGCTGCAATCAGTAGTGAAACACTAGGTGAGAGGGAAGAAGGTTCTAGAACTTGGAAGGAGGTACACAGATTCTTCGCAAACACTCTGGCCCCGCAGGTGGCTGTGGCTGGACGTAGGGCTGGAGAAGGGGAGGAGGGCGCAGCCCTGTTTGCTGTGCTAGTCTGTAAAGAGCGGCAAGAAGCTACTGGCTCACCCGATCACACACGGACATAGCTTCTCTTCACGGGTGGGGCACAGCTATAGAAATCAGATAGGAAACAACATTTAGCCACGGAGGCTGGGAGGAGGGTTTGTTCAAAGTCGCCTGCTCTATTGAAACAAAAGCTTTCCAGAGTTGGAGATTGTCATGGGTCAATCCTATTCTGGCTGATATGTTCATGAGCTGCGGGAGGCTGGACAGCACTTTCGCTATTCATGACTATTACCAGATTGAGCTTTTGAACTGCAGTCAAGCAGCTGTCTGAAAGCTTGTATGCATTGTTTTGGGATTTACAAGAGGAAACTATCCTCTGCCTTCCAGCTGATGAAAGGACAACAGAATGGAGCTGAACAATAGTATGAAAGGAACCAGAGAAAGACATGCTGTCCTTCAAATGTTTTTTTGTACAGTAGCATTTAGGAATGCAAGGGCTTGGACATCAACACTCAAGACCACGGAGCCAGTGCTGGCTTTTCCTCTACACCACTATCTCAGCCAGCCTGGAGCTCCAGAGGATTGAGTTAGCTGCCAGCCCCACTGAGAGCCACAGGCAGCATTTCAGGTGAGCAAAGGTATTGTAATCATTTTCCAGAAATCCATTTAAAGGGATTGTAACAGCCTCTTAAATGATGTCCCAAAGAGATGCCCAGGAACACACATTGCCTACTTACACTTCCTGAGATGTCCGTCTGGGAGCTCACATCCAGGTACTGTTTGTGCAGTGGGAAGCCAGAACTCTCCAGAGAACTACTGCTGGACCACAAGTCTGAGTGGGACCCTCTGTCCGTACGGAAGCCATCCTTCAGCATGGCCAGGCTCTGAAGGGGTGGAGGGCAGGGTGAGCAAGACACCTTCCTTGGAGGGGGTGCTGGGTCAGCCACACTCCTCTTGCTTTCCTCATCAACTCTCGTGACTTAGAAACCACAACTAGACACCTTTTAATTTATTTTTTTGAGGGAACTCACTATGCTTCCAAACACTGTGTGTCACATCCTTGACTGGTAGGGACATTGGTTTGGGAGTCAAGCTGCTGGAGTTAGAACCCCTACGCTGCTTTTCTGTGTTATATGATATGGTCTGTGCTTCAGTTTTCTCTCCTGTACAATGGGAATAATGATAAGTCCTATTTCACAGGTTATATTGATGAAATGTGATGACAAGTCTAAAGCACTAGTACAGCCCAAACTCATTAACTGTTGGCTTTACAACAGCTCACTGAATCTTGACAACAATCCTGCCAGGAATGGCCTATAATTACTGATTATGGTACTGATGAAGGAGTTTACATGAAGAAACCAGCAATTGGCAGCATCAGGATCTGAATCTGGTCTACCTGACTGAAGACGGCAGCTCTTAAGCAAACCACTACATCGTGATAGGAACACAACTCACTGTCCACTGCCTGACATTCTTACTGGGCAAGAGCTTCAGCATTACTGTGTCATAGTGCATTAAGCGGAGTCCTGGTGTGGCGCTGTGGGATAAAGCACTGGACCGCAATGTTGGTTTGGACCACAAGGTCAGCGGTTCAAACTCAACAGACACCCCTTGGAAACTCTATACAGGATCATTACAAGTCAGAACCAACTTGATGGCATTTAACAACAACAACAAGTGCATAAAGCATCCCTCACTAACTCATTCATAGCATATGCAGATAGAACAATAACAATGTAGCTCAGAGGCCTGGGCAGTTTTTGTGTGGGAAGGTGATATGTAGTTGGGTTAAGAGAATGGACTTTTGAGCCAAGTGTTCTTAGGTTTGAATTGTGGCTTGGTCCCTTACTCTCTGAGTTTTGTATCAGATAAATATATGAGATGCGATGTATGCAAAGTGGTTGGCCCAAATCGCCTTCCTAAAACATTAAATAATATCTAGGATTATTTGTTTAGTTCCCAGCATAGAGTCAATTGCTGTTGTTAGCAACCATGGGGGGTTGGCTCTGAGTCACAACAGAATGAAATGTTGCTGGGTCATATGCCGTCTTCATGATCATTGGTAAGCCCCAGTGCATTGTGTAAGGGTCTTTGAACCCAGGGAGCTCACCTTCCAGCGCTATATCAGGCAATGTTCTGTTGTATTCCATATGAGCTTCACTGGCTAATTTCAGACGTAGAACACCAGGCCTAATTTCCTATTCTGTCTCCGTCTGGAAGCTCTGCTAAACCTGCCCACCATGGATGACCCTGCTGGTTATTGGAAATATCAGTGGTATCACTTCTAGCATCACATCAACATACAAGCCACTACAGTATGACAAACTGACAGATAAGTGATTGTTGTTGTTGTTAAGTGCCATCAAGTCAGTTCTGACTCCTAGAGACCCTGAATAGGATTCCCAAGGAGAAGCTGGTAGGTTTGTACTGCCAGCCTTGTGGTTTGCAGTCTAGCGCCGGTCCTATAGCGCCAATGTTGTTGTTGTTAAATGCCATCATCGAATTGGTTCTGACCCATAGCCACCCTGTATAGGGTTTCCAAGGAGCAGCTGATGAGCTTGAACCGCCAACCTTGTGGTTCAAACTTTGCAGTCCAGCACATTAACCCACGCCAGTGGTGGTGGTGGTGTGCCATGGAGTTGGTTCTGACTCATAGTGACACTGTACAGGGTTTCCGAGGCTGTAAATCTTTATAGGAGCAGAAAGCCTTGTCTTTCTCCCACGGAACAGCTGGTAGCTTCAAACCTTGAGGTTAGCAGCCCGGCTCGTAACCACTAATACATGGGGTTCAATGCTTGTAAAGATGCTATTTTTTCCATATCAAGATTGGCGATATCAAAACTACCTTCTTCCCTTTGGTTCTTTGAAAAATAAGTCAGTTGCATGGCCTTTAGGCTAGGTCTTACAGCTCCTGTTCTAATTCTGTCATTTTCATGAGTGGTGTGACCTTAGGCAACCTATTTAATGTTTCTGAGCCTCCGTTTCCTCCTTTATAAAATGGGACCAAAGCTCAAGGAGACTAGCAATGAGAACTCAGTGATCTATGAAGCGTTGGGAAACAGCGCACTCAAGCCCTGGCACACAGGGGAAATCAGCTTCATTGCAAAAGGCCCACCTCCCTGGAAAAGGTGTGTACCTTAATAAGATCTTGCTTCTCCTTTTCTCCACAGGTGATGGCCTTTTTGATGGCTTTCGTTTCTCTCAAGACAGCCTGAGCTTCATCCAGTTTGAAGCTGCCCTGAGCATCAGACATTTTCTTATCGATTCTAGGAGACAAGTAAGAGGAAAGGTCAGACAAAGATATGACCAGGGTGGGGCTTCCCCAGTAGAAAACCAGACATAAAATTTGGTCCCTCAAAGTCTCCACAACTGTCCTGAACATCCTCCCTCTATCCAGCTCTCTCCATTGAAAATAGGCACACAGGGTCCCTGAACATGTATTACAATGTATGGTGCAGATCTATTCTATGCACCACAGGATACTTAGCAACACCCCTGGTCTCTACCTACGTGATGCCAGCAACACCCTACCTATATCCAGCTGTGGCACCAAAAATGTCTCCAGACATGGCCACAGGTCCTGTAGTGGGCAAAATCAACCCTGGTTAAAAACCACTACCTTCAATCATTATTTACAGAATTAATGGACACAATGAAGGAAAGGTTCAAACAATCCCAATCCTCCTATGATTAACAGTGTGACCTTGGGCTTGGTTTTCAACCACAGGCCCACGCTTCTTCCAAATGGGGATCCACATAACCTCACCTGCTTATGTTCACAGAATTGTTACAAAAGTCAAATGGGATCAAGCATGGGAAAACTGTGTGGTGAGTTAGGAAGCATTGCACACACATAAGGGATTACAATAGTTTTAGCCTCCAGCGTTTACTGGCTCATCCTGGTCTACCTTCAGTTCCACTGAAACCTATTCGGCAGCACAAAATCAACCACGCAAGCCTCCATTAACAGACGGGTACTGTTTGTAACCTGAGGTGTCTTAATCAGGAATCCTGCATGGAGGGCAAGAATTCCAACATTAGGAAGAAGGGCTTGGACCAGGCTGTATTTTGTTCCACTGTGTTTCCATGAGCCAGGAGCCTACTTGAGGCAGCAAACACCAAAACTATACAGGTTCCTTTTGATAGGGAGGTTGTTGTTGGTTGGTAAGTACCGTAGAGTTGGTTCTGATTCATAGTGACCCTGCACAGGGTTTCTGAGACTCCAAATCTTTACAGAAGCAGAAAGCCTCATCTTTCTCCAGTGGAACCGCTGGTAGTTTTGAACTGCTGACCTTGAGGTTGGCAGCCCAACTTGTAACCACTACGCTACCAGAGCTCCTTGATAGGGAGGCAGGGGTAAATAAAGAGAGAAGGGGCTTGATGTAGTTTTCTGAAGGTCAGCTCAATCCAGAGATGGAGGGAAGGGTGTGGTGCAGAAAAGAACTCAATTTTCACTGCTTCTCATTTTTGCCAAAGGCTAGGCCTGAGGTTTGAGTCCACTGGGAAGAAAATGAAGCTTTACAGTCTGAGGGAATACCACAAACCCATTACTTAAGGAAGACAAACCCCTCACAGGCATTCCTTTCTGGTTTTGTGCTATAGGCCAAATTGTCCAGGGCTAAAAATAACAGGAGGAGGGGGCTACTGGGAGGAGGGGCCTGATTTTCAACATGGCCTCACTGTCCATGCCTCCGAACAGGAGAGAGGGTGGAGCCTGGTCTCCACACAGCACCCCCCTCCCCCATTATTCCGTTATTCCAGCCTCTGTGGAGGGAAAACAAAGCCCCACTTATGTCTCCCCAGTAAAAATAGTCTATCTATTCCCTTTGAGGATGTGAGCCTTGGCACACTTGCCAGGTCGGCTGACACGGGTCTCAGATTTAGTCTGACACATTTGTCGAACCAGAACTTTCCCGCCTAGAATCCTGTTGAAGCTGCTTCGTGGCAACCAGGCTCCCTCATAGAGAACATGTAGGACAGGAGGTAGCCTGGCCCCAAGTGGGAGAGGGGAGAGATGCCTTGTATTTAAGCATGTCAAGGAGCTGGGGATTTCAGGGAGGGGGCTGTACCCAGCTATCCAATGCCAACAGGATGGGACAGAAGCAACTTGTCTCCTGGGCCCTGGACTGTTCCACAGGCCTCTACCTGATTTCTCTCAGAGGCCTTAGCAACTGGCTTCTGGAATTTGGCTCCAGAGAGCAATCCTGAGAGGGAGCGCTGTTGGGCTGGAGCAGAGAAAGAGAACAAAGGGTCACCATTATGTGTTCAGTGAATGAACACATTAAAAAAAAAAAAAAAATTTTTTTTTTTCCTTTTAAGGAAAAGAATACTTGTGTGTGTATGTATGTGTGTAATGTGTGTAGGAGAGAGGCGGTGTGTGTGTGCGCACATGTGTTTTAGGGTCTGTCCTTTCTCTCAGAACCTAGGAGATCCACACAGTCAGTTGCCATAGGACAGTAGCTGAAAGGCAGGGTGGTTTGGACAGCAGCAGCTCCTCTCTGTCTTGTCCAGATAGCTATTTCTTGGGCTGTGTGGCTTCAGTGATGTGTAGGAAAATGCTGCACTGCCCTTTCCCACAGTGACAAAATGCAGTTTCAACTCTTTCCTATTTGCAGGGGCTCAGCAACATGGCAGGCCCAATGCTTTTGCTTTTCCTTTCTAGTCTCCTCCAAGAGCCATCCTGCAGCCTCATTAAGCTTCATTCTTTCTTACTTCTTTTTTTCTTCCTTCCTCTTCCTTTCCCTTCCCTTTTTAGAACTGGATTTGCTGACCAGGAATAAAATAAATGGATGGGCCTCCACACTTACCCGCCTGGTGTTCTGAAAGGAGAGTAGGCTAAGAATTAGGAGTGACCCGATCATCCTCCACTAGACCCTGAAAAGGAAGGGTCCTAAAGGAGATGGACAGGTGCCTCATGTTTTCTGAGTATGGGGAAGAGTTCTGTCTGCATGAAGACAGGAAGGGAGCATTGGAGCATCAAAAATCCATCAGTCCTGGGCTCCAAACTCAGCTGGGTAGCCTTAGGTGTATTTTTGACCATGTTAGTGTCCTCATCTATAAAATGTGGTAAAACACAAACATTCTCATAAGGGGATAATGATGATGAAATGAGGTGACTGATGTCTTTACCCAGCAAAGGCTGACATATAGTTCATCTGAGTTCCCTTTCTAAATCCAAGCAGGCAGCTAGCTAGAGGACATCATCACCCCTTGCTACGCTTACTAATATCTTTCTATATGCCAGGTACTGCTATGAACTCGACAGGGATTGACCGATGTAATCTTTGTTGTTGTTGTTATGTGCCGTGGAGTCGGTTCCAACTCATAGCAACCCTATACAGGGTTTCCGAGGCTGTAAATCTTTACAGGAGCAGAAAGCTTCATCTTTCTCCCGCGGAACAGCTGATAGTTTCGAACTGCTGACCTTAAGGTTTGCAGCCCAATTCGTAACCACTACGCTACCAGAGCTCCTTATATACTCTTTATTTCTCTGACCAAGAAACTGGAGCTCACTTTTTTAGGGTCCCAGAGAATTGAGATTTGAATCCAGGTCCACTTGGCTTTTTGAGGCCACATTCCTAATGTTGTGTGTCACAGGACTACATTCAAGCAGATATCTTCCTTTACCCCAAGCAGCAACCAGGTTTCAGGCTAAGGTGCGTGGGCTGCCAGAGTTGCAGTAAAGTCTTATCTGGGGCTGACATCAAACATGAGGCACAGGGAGAAAAAGGAGGCTTGTTTTGGGAGTTTCGGCATCAGCTTACCAAATGACAAGAATTTTCAATGCTGCTACAGGGTGACAAAGTGGTAAAACAGGTTTTCGGTGGCTCTGAGAATAATGAGAAGTGTTCTAACTAGAAGTTCTTGAGGGTTTGGGGGTGGAGGTTGTGAGGGGAGGGAACATCCAGGTGTAGTGAGTTGCCCTTCAACTATGTGCTCAGAAGCTGTTTCACTAGCAGGAAGTGGAAGCCTCAGGCTATTGCATTATAGATCAAACATAGCAATGTTCTAAGCTTACATTATTGTTCAGAATTAGTGCTACTGAAGATTGCCAAGAAGCATAAAGTATGATCCTCAGTCTTAAGGAGTTTAGAATCAGGTTTGACAGATGGGATTATATATATATTATATGTTGTTAAGTGTCTTTGAGTCAGTTCTGACCCATAGCAGCCCTGTATAGTGTTTCCAAGCAGCAGCTGGTGAGCTTGAACCACTGACTTTATGGTTCACACTGACTTTACAGTCCAGCGCATTAACCCACAATGCCACACCAGGACTACTTATATATATATATATATAGTGGTGGTGATGTGCTATGGAGTCAGTTCTGATTGTTCCTATAAAGACTGACAACTTCAGAAATCCAGTATAGGGTTGCTGTGAGTCAGAAAGGGACTCCTGGTGCGGGACTGTGGGTTAATGCGCTGGAATGCAAATTCAGTTTGAACCACAAGGTTGGTGCTTCAAGCTTACCAGCCGCTCCTCAGAAACCCTATACAGGGTTACTATGGGTCAGGGCCAACTCAAAGGCACACAACAAAAACAATAGCAATATATACACATACACATAAATCTATAGTTGTTGCTACTTGTTAATGAGTCAGCTTCAACTCATAGAGACCTCGTATACAACAGAACAAAATGTTCTGTGGTTCTACACCATCTTCCTGATTGTTGATTTGCTGGAGTTCATTCCTGAAGTCACTGTGTATTTTGAGTACTCTCCAACCTAGGGTACTCATCTTCCAGCATTATAGCCGACAGTATTCTGGTGTGATCCATAGGGTTTTCACTGACTAATTTTCAGAACTAGATCACCTGCCCTTTTTTCCTATTGTGTCATAGTCTGGATGCTTTACTGAAACTTGTCCACCATGCGTGATCTTGTTGGTATTTGAAATAACAATGGATAGTATAGTTTCCAGCATCATAGCAACATGCAAGCCACCACAGTATGACAGATGGGCTTGTTGTTGTTGTTGTTAAGTGCCATCAAGTCAGTTCTGACTCTGCAACATTATGACAACAGAATGAAACACTGCCCGGTCCTGTGCCATCCTCACAATCTTTGCTAAGCTCGAGCCCACTGCTACTGCCACTGTGCCAATCCATATTGCTGGGGTTCTTCCTCTTTTTCACTGACCTTCTACTTTACCTAGCATGATGTCCTTCTCTACGGCCAGCACCCTCCTTAAAATCTGTCGGAAGTATGAGAGATAAAGTCGAGCTATTCTGACTACCAAGAAACATTCTGGTTGTACTTCTT